GAGACCGTCAAAATAACCTTGGTGTCTATTTTACCGAGACCAGCAAAATAACATTGGTGTCGATTTTACCGAAACCTACAAAATAACCTTGGTGCCTATTTTACCGCAACTGGAAAAATAACTTTGGTATCTATTTTACCGAGACCGGAAAAAAAACCTGGGTGTCTATTTTACCGCAACCGGAAAAATAACTTTGGTGTCTATCTTACCGAGACTGGCTAAATAAACTTGGTATCTATTTTACCACGATCGGAAAAATAGCCTGTTCGAACAAAAATAGAATTAAATCATTACTCTAACCAACTTTTGGAATGGAAACAACTTACAAAATTACAAACTGAATTTTTTAACCTTTACAGAGAGACGTTCCGAGGAGAACTAGAAATTCTACCAGTATCCCCTGTGAATGTCAAATTCTCCAAGCACTCTTTCCACATTTCAACATTCTATAATATAAACTTCTTTGTTATTGTAATTTTCCATAAAACTTCCTCGTTGCTTACATGTTCGGTCCATGGCATTCTCAGTATTCTTCTGTAGAATCACATTTCTGTTACCTAAAGTCTCCTCTTCATCTGTGAGGAAAATGGTCAGCATTCCCTGTTATATAGGAGGATTCATATTTCTTAGCAGTTCAGCACTGTTTCTTTGTTTCTAACGAATTTTTTCCTGATGTGGTTCTACGAAAGGATGCTGAAAATACCATCGACTGAACACGCGAACTAGGTAGTTTTTACAAGCGAAAACTAAAAAGAGTACATTGAATCAGAAGACAGGATTTCTACGGCACATAACGAGGAAAGAGTGCTTGGCGATTTTGACACTCACAAGATGATATTGAAGCCAAGAAGAAGAACAGTACGTAACCTAATTGAAGAACTTGTGTAAATGCATGTCAGAACATATTCTGAGACAGATAGTAAGGTGACAAACATTACTTCTAGCTAGAAAGGATAGGAAGTTGCGGAAAGTTGTAATTTACTACACCCTGGAGGGATATAGTGCATAAAATATCATATCGTTTTTGTCTGTTTACTACCATTTATAAAAACAGATATCGCAAAATCTTTACATAGGTATTTTTTGTGATGTTGGATGGCTTCGCTTGTCACTTTTTTTCTATGTCAAGCGAAAGATCGTTATCACTTCCAATAGCGCACGTTATATTCCGTACTAGTAGTAACGCCTTCCAGTAATATCCGTGCTAGTAATACTTGTCCAAGTAGTAATCGCCAAATAGTATAATGATCAGAAGAGAATTGTAATCTGTATAGTAGTAGAGTAGAGAGAGTGAACGTATAGCAATGGTGGATAGACAAGAAGAGTGAAAAAGAGATCGTATAGTCATCACGCAACTTCCTTTATGATCACGTAATCTACTTAATAATAGAATCGTCTCTGTTACTCACTGGCGATCTAGTTTCAAATCAAAGTGTCGGCAACGACACTTATACAACAGTATTATACAGATGAAAAGGCCGTGGAATATATCGACCGAATCGTTTTTGGTCACTATAAAACTACAAAAAGAACGAGCTTAAATATTCGAACAACTGTTGGAATGAAAATTTTTTTCTTCAGAATTACAAAAGTTATGACGCCATTCTTTTCCTTTTGGTTACTGTTGTGGTAGGATCCACCTAATTTACATAAGTGGAGTACCGACCATATAAATATGGGTTGGTACCGGAAGACGAGGGAAGATTAAGAGATCGAATCCAGAGACTCTGCCCGACTGCGATTTAGTCAACCCATTCTGCAGGAACAGTCTTCCCAAGAATATACCAAAACTACCTGTAAATATTGTGTACCTTTTTTCATTGTTTCAATACATTTTGTTACGTACATTTTGTGTTGTATTATTATTATTCCATGCTTATTCAAGCTTCAACAGTTACCATTTATGGAAATAAAGATACCTCGCTTAGAATTTATGGAAATAAAGATACCTCGCTTATTTAAATGCGGATTTTATAACTGGTGAATGTTAGGGTACTAATACACCTGAATGCAACGGTGATAATAAAAACGAAAAACGAGTGGGATCAGGTCCGATTTGAAACCCAAAAATTACTTCGATGAGTTTACGAAAGAATTTGTTCCAAAAGTTACTGGAGTTAAATGATTTTCTCCGGAGTTTTTGTTGTTTGTCAGCATCTATGACTAAAAATCTTGTAATACGCAGACGATTAAGATAATCGCTTTGAAATAAAAGTATCAGTGTCTTTATCGCCTTCATCTTATAGCAGCCAGTATTATAGAAAAGATTTTCATTTACAAAAAAGAATCAGATGGAAACCATTGCAAAAATACACTAAGGCTAAAAGTCGGTCTGAATTTACATTCTCTTATATTTTATATATATAGTTTTAATTTATTTAAAATGCGTTATTATTTACCGATATTTAGCTTAAGCTACTTTTCCCCATTTTTTTTCTTCTTTTAGATCCCATAGTGCAACGCACAAAGCTCTTCTTCCGGTTGACTGCGCATTTCCATTCTTACTACAAAAATAATACAAGACAAAAACAAAAGAAAGGGGAAAAAAAACAATAAAACGATATCGCCACGCTTTGTACTTAAATCTCAATCCAACATCAAAGACTTAGCTCCTGACGCTCTTGAGGTGCAAGGTGAACCCTGAGCAACTCGAATGAAACAGACGACGATCTTTTCCCGCCCACAGAAGATTCATTCCACAGATGATTTGACCATTTAAATACGCGCCTACAACAAAGCGATCCAGTAAAAATGGCGGATCTTAAAACTTGTCGAATCCAATTCAGGATTGTTCTTGTTGTTGCAGGATTTCTCTACACATTTTTTGCAGTAATAAAGGAAGGCAGTGAGTTAAAAGTCAGAGATCAGCAGCAGCAATGCAAAAAGCAATAAAGAAATATGAATCAAGTTTAATACCAGTTAAAGATAACCAATTCGCAAATTATATACGTATGGAAAGTCAAGAACTTGTGAATGCATGTGTTCGTTTAAGAAGTCGAATAGGAATGTAAATTATGCTTTAAATTATGCAAAGTCGGTGTAGATATAGATATTTAATCTTCATATGGTGATCAGTTACATACGCACTTGCACACACACATTTACACAGAGAGACCCATATATATATATATATATATATATATATATATATATATATATATATATATATATATATATATATATATATATATACACCCAATTCATAATACACATGCAATTACATATATTTATAATGTATTATGTGAAGATGCTGCGTGTACATTATCTTTTTTATGACACACAGCACAGGTATATATATATATATATATATATATATATATATATATATATATATATATATATATATATATATATTGGTACTTATTGGAAAATGTTCAATATCAGTGATAGTGCTAACATATTCAGTTGTATGGATATGTGTGTAACCCCGTGTTTCACGCTTTTGCGATCATCAGACAAACTCATGATGAGAGTAAAAGTCTCAAAATCAGGGTTACAAACTCAAATCCATACAATTTAATATGTTATATATATATATATATATATATATATATATATATATATATATATATATATATAAAAATATAGAAAATAGGGAAGGAACGGGTTAGGTAAGTAATCCAAAGTTCCTTAGCATTTTAGTTATTATTTTTAAAAAATAGTGCTCGATACAAAAGTAGAGCATAAATATAATTATTTATTTAAAAATATGATTCCAAACTCGCGACATATATATATATATATGTATGTATGTATGTATGTATGTATTGGGTGTAACAGCAAAATTTTCCTCCTACAAAATGTTTAATATCTAAACAAACATTATACTAATAGAGTTTCTTTTTTCCAGGTTTTCCGATAAGACATCTTGACACTATTTGTCGTAAGAATCACAGAAAACCCCTTTGAGTTATTCAGATAGAAAGAGAACCGGTTAAAATCGTTTTGTGTCAGCCTCACTATATCTTCCCAACTGAGCTAGGGTGAGAGGAAAACCTTATTCAGGCCTTCACTAAGGTCCTAAAATTCATACTATGGCTTCCATTTTCAAAGTCCAAGAGAACGGTGAATAAGTTTAAAAAAACAGGGAACAGTAGTGAAGAAAACTTGATCAAGAGGTCACAACAGCAAGAGGGATCATCATTTTAACTTAAAGCTAAAGAGATCAATTAGAAAAGATCCAACTCAATCCATAAGACGTTTGGCACGTGTGAGAGAAGTTTCACCTATGACAGTCCAAATAGCAGTGAAAAATGACTTGAAAATAAAATCGTACGTGAAACCTGTGAGGCACCTTGTTACTCCAGGACAGAAAGTTAAAAGGTTAGAAAATGCGAAGATCATCTTGAATAAGTTGGTATGTGTGTCTGATTAAATAATTTACAAACATAATGTCTACTTATTTTTAGCATAATCCGTGCGTGTGTAGGGTGTTGTGCGGGTGTGTCATTAAAAAGATTATCTTTACATAATGCATATTCACGGATATATTTCCATGTATTGCATTCAAATGATGCAAAACATGCACACTGTATCAGAAAAATATCCGTGAATATGAACGGATTATGTTAAAAATAAGCAGACATAATGTATGTAATTTACTTAATCAGACTTGCTTAAAAGAGAATTTTCTGACTAAATGCACAAATATATATATAGCAAATATATAGATACATACATACATATATATATATATATTAGTTATTCATCGTCTAGAAGAATCCTCAACAGAATGCAGAAAGAAATGGATAGCACTTTTGTGCTATTTTGGGACTCATCAGCAGTGAGCATCCACTAGCGAGATTCGAACCTGGACTGTTTTGATACAACGCAAACCGACTGTACTAAGGGGCCCCGGTGACGAAAAAGAAACTGAATAGACTCCTCATAGCGCTGTTATTCACATATTCAGTAGTGATATTCATCCAAGTATTCATAAACCAATGGATTGTCTTCCAAGAGCCACGACTTTCCTTTCCCTCGAACCGCTCCAAACATACATAGGGATAGATAGATAGATAGATAGATAGATAGATAGATAGATAGATACTGGGATAGATAGATAGATAGATAGATAGATAGATAGATAGATAGATAGATGATGATGAATGGGATAGATAGATAGAGACTGGGATAGATAGATAGATAGATGGATAGAGATAGATAGATAGATAGATAGATAGATAGATAGATAGATAGATAGAGTGAGAGAAAGAGACTGGGATAGATAGATAGATAGATAGATAGATAGATAGATAGATAGATAGAGTGAGAGAGGACTGGGATAGATAGATAGATAGATAGATAGATAGATAGATAGATAGATAGAAAAGAAAAGAAAGAAGACAAATGAATAGATAGATAGAATGAAAGAATAGAATAGATAGATAGATAGATAGATAGATAGATAGAAAGAATGAAAGAAAAGAAGACTGGGATAGATAGATAGATAGATATAGATAGATAGATAGATGAATGAAAGAAAGAAGACGTGAATAGATAGATAGATAGATAGATAGAGATAGATGAAGAAAAGAATCATGAAAGAAAAGAAAGAAGACGTGGAAATAGATAGATAGATAGATAGATAGATAGATGATGAAGAATAGAGACCTAGATAGATAGAGTGAGGGACTGGGATAGATAGATAGATAGATAGATAGATAGATAGATAGATAGATAGATAGAGATAGAGGAGGGACTGGGATAGATAGAAAGATAGATAGAAGATAGATGGATAGAGATAGATAGATAGATAGATAGATAGATAGAAAGAATGAAAAATGAAAGAAAGAAGACGTGGATAGATAGATAGATAGAGGATAGATGATAGATAGATAGATAGATAGATAGATAGATAGATAGATAGATAGAAAGAAAGAAGACGTGAATAGATAGATAGATAGATGGATAGATAGATAGATAGATAGAAAGAATGAAAGAAAGAAGACGTGGATAGATAGATAGATAGATAGATAGATATGGGAAGAAGAAACGTGAGATAGATAGATAGATAGATAGATAGATAGATAAGAAAAGAAGAACGTGGATAGATGAATAGATAGATAGATAGATAGATAGAAGATATTTAGCTACTCGTTTACTGAATGCACCAATCTACTCTGGTAGACGCCTGCTCAGGCATTTTTGTGTTTCTGTATCATCCATAGAGCTAATCCATGGTTCATATTGCAACTATGATTAATCGACTTTAATGAACTGTTTTTTTTGTGTGTGTGTGTGTGTGAGTGCATAATTTGGTGAGATCAATATGTGAACAACGCCACTTCACTCAACTTATCGGTCACTATGACTTCGCTTACAAGTCACGGGTGTTGTGTTTCCAAGCACTTTCCCAATAGCAAGCTCACCTTGACAAATCGACCCTGGTGAAATTCGAAACCGGTTCTCGTGGCTGGAATGCTAACATTCTAACCCCTCGGCCAGGCACCAATTATGAGCGCCTACTGTTTGGCATTGTTTAATAAGTACCCCTTAGAGATCAGCCGCTAATGTTGGGATTTGGATCTTCATAGAGTGATCAGTTACTCTGGCCCTGTGCCAGGCTATGTTTAGCCTATATCGTAGAAATATATAGATATTAGTTGTATATTTTTATGATGAAAAAATTCTAAAAAATAAAATGTTACTTTTTCAAGTGATACATATTTTTATTCTTTTATGTGTGTATGCAGATATGCAGGTAAATATGATCATATATATGTGTGTGTGTGTGTGTGTGTGCAAAAAGAACTTGTTTATTTTAATGTGCGTGTCTGCGGATGCATCCAGATATAGTGAAATGTAAACGTATATCTTGTATCGCGATAACAAAACCGATTTTAAAAAATGCAATTGGCCGATTACATCTCCGTCATATATTCCAAGCGAGAGAAAAAAAACAAATAATCATTTTCCTCTTTGTTTATATATATATATATATATATATATATATATATATATATATATATATATATATATATATATATATATTCGCTTATGCATAAATTGGCCGAAGTTAGCAGCCTTTTTTTTTTTTTTTATTTTTTTTTTTTTTCATTTTTCTCGTTGTTGGAAACGGACAGGCAAATTATTTTGTAAGGTAGCGCGTGTACACGCCACGCATGCGCATCCAAAGAATTGCCCGAACCCGCCAATTCGCATACTCCGTCGATCGGACGTCATCGTTTCACGCGCCATTTTGAGGGCATGCGGGCTTCTTTTATCGTGCGATGAAGCTGTCTTATTACGAGTTGACATCTTCTTTGCTGTCGTATCAGAAGCCTTATTAGATGTGAGTACACTGTGAGAGTTGGAGAACGATTTGCGAGATAGGTAGCTGGGTTGTGGAATCAGCGCGAGCGAAAAGCGTTTAAATATCGCCCTGGGGTGAATCTGAGATAATACCTGCCTGATTTTGTCTTAGAAGCTGCTTAGTTGACATTTAATATTTTTTATTGTCATTTATTAGTTACGCATTTCTGTCTTTTCTTCAGTGCCATTCACACCTCTATATAGATCTATTTATCCTAATCTTTCTATGTACGTCAATATCTCTATTTATATATACATATATATATATATCCACACACACGCATATATATATATGTGCGTGTGTGTGTGTGTGTGTGAAAAGCGTGTGTATAAATATATATATATATATGCGTGTGTGTGTAATAAATTATATATATTATTATTTATATATTATATGCGCGGTACTTATTAGAAAGCGCTGAATATCAGAGATAGATCTAATATATATATATATATATATATATATATATATATATATATATATATATACAGAGAGAGAGAAGAAGGTAAAAAGATAATACGTATGTTTGTATATATATAGAGAGAGAGAGAAAAAGATAGATAGATAGACAGTGAGTATTTGGGTAGCAATCCCTCTTTTATGCAAGTTTCGTTCAAAAAGAACGAGTATAGAAACACATAAACAATCTATATATTCAGTTAAAAGTAAAATAAATATAGACATTTTTTATATCATATTGTCATCTATCTATCTACATATATGTATATGTATATATATGTGTGTGTGTGCGCGTGTTCACAGATAGAGTAATGAGGAACAAAAAGAGAAATTCGTATATATATATATATATATATATATATATATAGTTGTATATTTAGGCAGCAATCCTTCCTTTATGCATGTTTCATTAAAAACGACAGACAAGGTACTACGGTTGAGCTTTTTATTTAATTTTTCTTGTGTTCTGACAAGAGCTTTCTTTTCTGGACAAAGGGTGTGTAAGAACTGTCCGAATGTTTTATATTTCCGAGCGCTTTCGGCTATACCTTTAGCCATTATCAAGGATGATTCGATTATCAGCTTAGTTGAGTGTGTGCGTTCTGTGTATGTATCAGTGTGTGGTAGGGGAAAAATTAAATAAAAATCTCAACCGTAGTACCTTGTCTGTCGTTTTTAATGAAATATATATATATATATATATATATATATATATATACAGTGAGTTCCCCAATTCGCGGGGGTTAGGGGACCAGAACCGTCCGCCAATAGTTAGAACCCGCGAATACTTGTAATATACCTCACCAAATAAAAGTGTTTATAATTACTTATTTTGATTGTTAAAACTCCATTTGTCTTAAACCTTCTTCCTAAACACCTTAGAAACATTTCAGTCACTTTTTACAACATTTTTGAAAAATAATATTGGTGACCATACACTTAGCGCCAATTTTCTTTCATACATACAATAACCGTTTTTAATTACGCATAGATCGATACAACTATTGAAAATACTTTATAAAATACGTGTAACAAAATATAAAGTTTAAAACATTTTCTGAAAACAGAACTGTGATGATGCTCCTAGATTTAGCATAATCCACTTTTAAGACCCTAGCCGCAGCCCTCAAGAAAGAACAAAGCCCAAGCACTACGCATGTTTTTGCGTTTGTTTTTTTTACATTTAAGATGTGCAATTCTATCAATTTTTACCATAAAAATGGACTGTTATATGTTTTAAGTCGCTTAAATAACAGAAAAATAATACAAGAATATTCTAAATATGTTCTATCGAAAAAAATACTCGAATCGAGGGAGTTCCCAGCGAATAATTTGTACATATGTTCTTCAGAAAAACATGCGAATATTCGGGGTTTCCGCGAATAACAAGTACATACGTTCTAAAGAAAAATACGCGAATGTGTAAAGCCGTGAATAGGCGATGGCTGTATGTAATTTTGATATATATATATATATATATATATATATATATATATATATATATATATATATATATATATATATATATTAGTATGAGCATTTACATATATGGATGTCCCTCTCTATGTTCACGGCCTTATTATGAAAAAAGCATTTATCTTTTACAGTAAATGTTTTCAGCATGACCTCTTTCTTTGTCAATGCATTTAATTCAGTAGTGAATATTAATCACATAGATGGGGTAATATGCAGTGAAATGTTCAGATAGAAAGCTACATTTTCAGTTACGAACTAATTGATCCACCCTCATATGAACAGAAATATATATATATATATATATATATATATATATATATATATATATATAGATAGATAGATAGATAGATAGATGTACGGTAGATAAATGAAACGGCCAGATATAAGCAAGCGTGTTGCATACGCGGGCAAACAAATAAATAATTGTTAAATTTATACATGAGCCGATCCTGTGCCCGACGTGCTGGGAAGCACCAAGCGAAACTATAGTCGCACACCGAAACGTGGGTACACACACACATATATCACTTTTTATTCATATATATATATATATATGTGTGTGTGTGTGTGTGTGTGTGTGTGTGTGTGAATAAAAAGTGATAAATGGAAAAAACTATCCTTAGCCAACGGATTTCGCCCTCTGAGGGACTTTATTAAGACAATGTAGGATTTTTTTTATTGCTGTACGTGGTTCCATACATAGGCGAGGCTTTTAAATCAGAGAACGTTCATGAATGTTCCTCGGACGGTTGAAAGGCCAGTCAAAGCATATGGAAGACACAAAGTGACATCATTCAAAGTCTGGCAAAATGTAAAGTGACCAAGTAATATTCGAATTATATATTTTTTTTTAAATAACATATCGATATTGTTTAGTGACTAGATTGTTATGGTATGGCTTGTGCTGTACACCTTTTATTATTAATTTTATCTCCGCTATAGATTCACTCTATCTGAAAAGATTTAATTAGATTCATCAGTAATTTCAGTACCTAAATAAATAGCCAAATATATTAAATTTACAACGTCTTCCCTACTTGTTCTTTACGGAATCAGAATTAATGCTTATTTTCACCTTATATACCGTGTTCCTGATTAAACCGAATTCATAAATAATTACATCGGTCACACTACTACATGCCTATCTGGACGCCTCACGTTGCCCCGATCTGACCATAGCTCTATTAGAATCCATTTAAACATACGCATAAACTTACCAGACTCCAGCCGAAACATATTAGTAGAAAATACAAGCATAATAACCTCATCTATATGTAAAAAAAAGATTAAAAATAATGGAAAAAGAAAAAGCCAACACTTAATAATATTAACTACGAACGCGACCACAATGTGATGTGTACAGAAAATAAAACATTTCTGTAACGCTAAAAACGTACACACAACGCACACACCCAATTAAATTATCAAAATAATCCTCGATAATGGCTAAAAGTATATCCGAAAGCGCTCGGAATTACAAGACATTTGGACAGAAATGAAAATATGTATGCTAATATATATATGTATATATATATTTAATGAAAAACAGACACTTTAAGGAACCATTACAATAATTTATTTCACCAAAATCCTTTTTAAAGGATTTCGGATCATCAGGTAACACTTCCAACAATGAAATGAAAGGAAAAATGTGATAAGAAATTGATGGGTAGTGTAATATTTGTAATTAAACAGGGAGGGTGAAGGTGGCGGTTAAAAAGACAATACAAAATATAGGGAGGGTTAAATTTATATCTCTCTTAAATAAGCTTTAAATTGGGGTAGGAGGAGTGACCTAACCTTGACCTATTTATGTGGTTAAAGAAAAAGTAAGTGATATATAGGAATAGTGAGGAAAGGAAATAAAGTAAAAGGAAAAAAGAGAAAAAAGTGGAAAAAAGCAGACGTATCCAAAAGAGTTTTATGGCAAAGAGGGAGGGGGAGAGGGAAGTGAAAATAAATTTATAGATATAAATTTAACCCTCCCTATATTTTGTATTGTCTCTTTAACCGCCACCTTCACCCTCCCTGTTTAATTACAAAAATTACACTACCCATCAATTTCTAATCATATTTTCCTTTCATTTCATTGTTGGAAGTGTTACCTGATGATCCGAAATCCTTTAAAAACCAAGTTCTTCATAACTTAACTATATATATATATATATATATATATATATATATATATATATATATATATATATATATAATGAAATTGTTAGAAAATTCTGTAGAAAAAACATCTAATATTTTTATTTATTTATATGTAATATTTATATTTCATGTAGTCTTACAAAGAAATTAAACGTTTTACTTACAAGTGGGTTTTCAGAAAAAAAGAATTATTATTTATTTTTTTTACTTTAAATTGTTTTACCTTTGTTTAACTTTAACCGATTTCGCTTTTAGCGTTTCAAAAAGTCTTTAACTGTTTATATTTCCACGTGTTGACTGTTTTTTTTTTTTTGTTGTTTTTGTTTTTTTTTTGTTTTGAACATATGAAGAAAATCAAACTGTCTTTATATGTCGCTTATGGTAAGGGACCAAATTGTAGGATCTATTTTGTAAGTAATACATTTTTAATTTTAAATATTATTTTAATATATCTTTGTAAAAATGCATTTATATAATAAATGTATTTTTACAAAGAAATATTAAAATATTACATATAAATAAATATAAATATTAGGTGTTTTTTATCCAAATCTTATTTTCACACATACACACTCTCTCTCTCTCTTTTTCTCTCTCTTTTTATACATACACACACACACACACACACACACACACATATATATATATATATATATATATATGAATGACAGAAATCATATCAGCATTAGTTTTAAACATGAACAAGGAAGAACCAGTTTTCTCTTTTCCTACAACCCTTAATTATTTTTGACTTATTCTTAACTTATATATATATATATATATATATATATATATATACAATTAGTTCATTCTTATTTTCTATACTTTGGGGGCTTTTGATTGGTATTTTAGAGGT